CCTATCGTTTATAAATGAATTATATTAATTTATGTTTGCTTTAAAGTCTTATAGAGGATGTCTCAAACTTCACCTTAGGAACACATTTAGTTTTTTTATGCAGATTTTTTATGTTTGATTAAATGAATTGGTATTAATGTTTTTGAAAGCGGTTGTGTTTAAATCATGCAGGAAACTAATTTTAAAAAAACCGAATAAACAATAAGTTTTCGAAATACTATTTTTAAGGAAAGTACCACAAAAAAGTTCCTTTCTTCTCCAATATTATGTAATGAGTTATTTAATATTCTGCCATGTTATATCAATATGTTATACTATTAAACCAAAAAGAGATTTTTCAGTCAGAACACATTTATATAAAGTTTTTTAACGAGACATTATATGTGAGCATAATTTTAATAAATTCAGATTTTGCTCAATCTACAGAGTGCGTTTTTGAGCTTGTACTCAACAGGAATTTTCGAGCAATATTTTATGTGGGTTTGAATTTTTAGCGAGATTTTAGAGGTAAAACTTGCCAAAAAATTTAAAAAAAAATTAGTTTACTCTTATACTTTTCTACAGAGAGGAGCATATTAAGATGTTTTCAAAATTTATTCAATTTATTCGAACATACTTTGAAAAAAAAAGGCATTGGAGCATATTTTAGCTGTAGTACTTCGGACCAAACACGTTTTGTCGAAAATCGGATAAATAGTTAATTTTTTTTATTGTATCTCAACTGCCAAAATGTTAAGCTATTTTATTTATTGAGAGATTTTGTCAAAATGAACCATTTTTTATACACGCAGATTTTGCCAAAGGTAGATTTTTTTTCCATGAGATTTAACGCAGGAAATTTTTTATAAATGTAAAATTCTGCTTAGCGAATTCCTTTAGAGCAATATTTTTGCATCTGAAAATTTTTCAGTGTGATTTAAGATTGAAGGATTAGTCAAGAAAATAAAAATTAAGTTATATAATAAAAATTAGTCTAAATATCACGTTTCTTTTTAACTTCTAAATTTTCTAAGTTTATAAAAATACTGATTCTTAGTGATTAATAAAAATAGCAAAGGTTAATTAAATTATTTGTCTTAAAAGGTATAAAAGTCTATGAGTAAAAATTCTTAAGAACAGAAAACTTTTAGCAACATTTTAGCAATATTAGAAGCAACAAGAACTGTATGGGCTCTGTGAAACAATGAACACTTCATTTACCCTACTCCCTTTATCAAATTCCTCCTGTTGCTCACAAAATTAGGCCGTTGGTAAAAAAGTGTGATTTTACGACTTCAGAACATTAACTTTTGTCGAAATTCCCCAACAATGTCTCTGCACTATTCGTATCTTTTACAGTTCTCCAGAGATCATTTTCAAAATAAGATTTCAGAAGATTGCAAAAACGAAAGAAACAAGAAGAGTTGCAAAAGACGTGATTGATGAAAGTGGGTCTAATGAAGTAGCCAGACCCTTTACTGAACTTCTATTTCATTCGTTCTTTCCTAATATTGGGCTTAGTACAATCATTGAGATCTTTAAAAGTCGGTAAACTTCCTCTAATAACGCGATTAATGCAAATAAAGTTACTAAGGAAAGAAAAAGGTGGATGTAAAACATTATCTTTCTTAGTGTCATCCCAGTGGGCGGGCGGGACACCCTCCAATGGAACGAGCTGATCCAAAACATTATCTTCCAAAATAGGCTCGGTTTTCGGGTCTTCAATCTACTTTATGAACGAAGAAAACAAACTCTTTTATAATAAAGTTGCCGCACCAGGGTTACTCAAAAATGGAAGTTTATATCATTGAGGGTTGGTGGGGCGTCAGCCCCCAAATAAAAGCTATAAATATTGTTACTTGGGATAAATAAGTTTGCAAACTACTCCTTCGAGGACGGTCTTTTAAAATGCGAGACAAAATTCTTCATTATACCTCAAGAAGATGAATCTATAATAAAATCTTAAATTGGAAATTGAGATCGTGATCCGTTTTATTACTTCAATTCTTTTATAAAGGTAAAATGTTTGTTGGGGGAAGCTCATTTGCTTGCGGCAGACAGTTTTTTTTTCAAAAAATCTAGTTTGTTTAGTATAAATATCATATTTAATGGAACGGTGGATTCTAAGGTGACTTGTAAGGACCTACTTTGAAATTGCCCAATCATGTTGTTGTGGTTAGTTAAGTTAAGATTAAAGATATACAGGATGAATTGTACTTCAACAGATGCTCGAGAATATTAAAATATATTCAAATTTGCTGTATTAGTTTGAAACAAAATTATTTTTTTTCTTTTAATTTTATGATTTTATTTTATTTTGCATTTTTACCCTTCTTCAATTGCTATGGCTAAAACGTAGATTTTTTCTTTTTATGGTTCTTTCGGGTTAAAAATAAACAAACTGTATATTTTTTTTTAAAAAGAGGAAAAAAATCTCATTGGATTACCATTCCATTGATTTTATTTTCTATTCCATACATTTCAAAATTACATTTCATAATTGTAAAATTAGTTTTTAAAATTTGAATTACGAAAAAAATAAGAGTAACCTTTTGCCTATATTACTAATTTACCTCTAAACAAAACAAATGAATTTTGCTCAATGAGTATTTTTCAAGCGAAGGGTTGAAAAAAAAAACAATGTTAATATAACTGTTTTTTTTTTCTCCGTTTTCCTTTGTTTAAACCAGTTTATTTCTTAATTTAAACTGGTTTTTCTTTCATTCTTTTAAAGTAAAAGATAAAAAATGCTTTGAAAACCATAATTTAAAGATTTAAAAAACTTTTTAAAAAGCATTTCACTGAAACCTTTCTTTAACATTAATCAATTTTTTCAATATTAATTTGGACACATCCACTTTTGTTGCAAAAATATGCTAATATCATAAAAAAGAATAATTACTGTTTAGTTGTAAATGTTTCAAACATTGATAATTTTAACGAGAAGTTGGTAATTTCAACAGTACTAGTGTAGTTTATGTGAAACAAGAACTCTCAGTTTGATGACCTCTATTTTACTTAATACACAATATGTAATTTTGTTTCTCTTTAATTAATTGTTTTTTTCCTATACCTAAGCTATAAATTTACATCTCCCAACATTTAAAATTATAAATATGTTCATTTGTCAATGTAAAAATTCCTGAACGAGGCTAAAGTAAATCGGTAGCTTAACTGTAATACATCAGGCTGTCCCAACATCCTAAAATGGAAGCTCAGAGGCAGCGGGTTCAAATCCCAGATGCATCTATTTATTTAGATTTATTAATTTATTGTTGGGCACACATATGAAGGGTTGTGTGTTCATTACAAAGCTCTGTTCATATGCCCTTATTAAGTTGAAATACAGCTTGCACAATAGAGAGAATATAATAACTAAAACATATCCAAGGATACGGTTGGGATTCGAACCCATTAATGAATGCTTTAGATACTATATATTTTGACTTCATTAATGAGTACTATGTTTATTTCCAGAAATGCCATTGCTATTAGTCAGTAATTTTAATAAAAAAAATTTTCCGTCTATAAGGAGAAAAAAATTCTAACTAAAATACCATGTACGTAAAGTAAAGACATTTATGGTAAAATAAACCATAATTCTGGCAATTGAATTTAAATGCATGGTATTTAGACTATTCATTTGGTAATTTTTCCGTTCATATGGTAACGCTTTACCAGAAATTCTTGTTTTCAAAATTATAGTTAATATTTCCCAGTACAAAAAAAAAAAATAAAAAATAAAAAATACAAGCTGGAAAGAAAATTTGGCAGAATAAATAGTTTTTATGCCATGCTCTATCTAAAGTATCATTGTAAAGTTACTAAATTTTGTCACATGTTATTAAACAAAATATTTGCTTTAATTTTTCCGATATCATCACCAAAGTGCTTCAGTAAGAAATACCGAGCTTTTTGGTGTTTTCATACAGCCACAAACACGGTAAATTTTATCATAATATGGTAGTATTTACCATACTTTTTTCTGAGCGTACTCAATCACTAAAAGTTTCTATAAAATACAGTACGAATGAAAGGCTTAAGTTATTATAATTTAAATTCGAAAGGAAAATTATTAAAATTCGAAATATCCTGAAGTTTTGCTTCTTTTTTACATTCAAGTATAGAATATATCAAGATATATAAATCTTTTAAGAGAAACAAATAAAAACTATCTGTATTGAAAACATAAGACTGGCTGGTTTAGTTTTCTCATTGCAACTAAATTGTACTGTGAACTACTTTGGCACGAGAGTTATGCACACCACAGTATATAGATTAAATATATAGTGGTCAAAATAACAAAAAATAAAGAATAAGAATGAGAAAACGTATGAGAAACGAGAATGAGATACTTCCAGTTAAAAGAAAAGTCTTATTTATTTATTTGTCAAAATTTAACTAAGCACCGAGTTTTTAAATAATCAAATTTAAACTAATTATTATTAAAATACAAAATAAAAATTACCCTTTTAAGGAAATAAATTATTTGAAAGCAATCCAAGACTAAAATTCAGCTAAATAAGTTTCTAAATATTCATGTATGTTTTTTTAAGTCTACAAATAATGAAATGTTAACTCGCAAAAATAATAAGCATAAATGAAATTTTCAAAACAAAATAATTTTACATACTGTGGTTGAACATCATTAGTATACATAAAACAGCTGGCTTCTAACTGTTGGAATGTATTTTTATTGAATTAGTCAGAGTGTAAAAATAGCAATAAAATAGTTATCTACATTAACAGAACACACAGGCTTCTTTTATATCGAAAGAAATAATTTTTTGAAATGCATAAATATGAGTAATAAAATACTTTTATAGGCGACAGGTTACTGAGAGAATAAAAAATAAAGATACAAAGAGAAAATTGTTCATTTTTTATTTTTTGTCTGACAGTTCAGCTGCACCTGGATTACGTACTGAAACAATGTTTCATACTAATACTTTCCTTCCGTATGTTATGCGTCTGGAAGCCGTCTAAGGTAAAAATAATTAAAAAGAAAAAAGAACATTTGATAGGTCTTTTCTAATTCTTAATACGTAGCAACGGATGTTATATCAAATTTTTATATCATTCAGAGAAAGTACGTTTTCTTAATTTTTTATTTTTTTTTGTCTGATTTTGTACTTTTACATATCGTCTGCACAAACTGATTAACAAATTTACGATTAAACCTCGCATAAATTATGTGAAAATCCGATAACTATATCAAAAGTTATTAAAAAGTAAGTTTTTCGCCCTTCAAAAGTATAAAAAGTAAGCTTTTTACGCCCAGTACATATATACCATCTTTGATATATAAGTAAGTTTTAGTTTTGATTTACTTATTTTCTTGAACTTTTTAAAGTAAAAAATGTGTTTCAGTTTAAGCTATTATATAGCGTTTTGTCAACAGCATTTAATGGATTTCTTTGCTTCCCCTAATTTAAGTCACATGATCGTTATTTTTTTAAATCAGCAAATGATAATGCTAGATATTATTAATTGCATTTAATTCTTGGTCAAAAAGATTAATTATATGTACAGTTTATAAAAAAAAAGAAATACGATGGAAATTCATTTCAATTCATATTTTGGAAATCGGCTAAATCTACTTTCTCAATTAAATAACCATACTGCAAAGCTAAAAACAAGCTAAAATTTACATAAAATTTATATAGCGATTTGAACAAAGGTAAAATATACATTCAAAAAACTTGAAATTTATAATTCATATTAAAGAATCTATTTCGGGCTATAGTCCGAAGAACAAAAAGATAAAATATACATTCAAAAAATTTGAAATTTACAATTAATATTGAAGAATCTGTTTCGGGCTATAGTCCAATTGTTATAAGCTTTTTTTTTTTAAAGTAGTGGTAAATAAATTCAAAAATATTTCGAATTTATGGCTGATATTTATAAAAATGGGATTTTGAGAAATTTTTCTTTAAAAGTATAATCTTATTATGCTGTAGCTTTGAATGTTGGAAATATATTGGGGTTGAGGGGGAATGCACTTATCAAATATCATACTCTCATATTACGAAATAAAATATGATAAAATAATTAACCAGATACTCAATCTAAATACAGTCTATTATTAAATGTTCCACTTGAAAATATTTTTTTTATCAGAGGTTACTTTCTGCCATTTATTTCTGAGATATCCTTTGTGCATCATCTTAACCATTTTATATTTATTTTATCTACAGCCTAAAGACTATTAGATGTGGTAAGTTAAAGTTTGTCCTATTTTCTTCACAATAAACAAGAAATATCTAATTTTCTGCGATGTAGACCAAATAATATTAATTTTATTTTTTAACTCTCGCTACAGAATTATACTTTATTATGGTACTAAGGATTTTCGGGATCGTAGAAGAATGCTCCATAGTTAGACTCTTTACTTAATTTAGTTGCCACCACACTGTCACATCATGATATGCGAATTCCCAATTTTAATGGTACAAAGAGTTGCAATTTGGAGAATATTGTCCCAATAGCTTAGTCAGGAGATCTTCTAATTTCATTCTTTTGCTTATTTCGTTATATCTTAAAAACTTTTAAGCGAATGGAATGTATGTCATGATGCACCGTTGCGGAGGTCACTATATAAAGCTTCTTAAATCTCCCTTGCACTGGATTGTATTACTATGGTGGTTAGATCATCCTACTACGAATTCGAAGGTCCTTGGTTAGAATCCAGCCGGCAGCCAACGAGCATCTCTCTCACACGTTTCTCCCTGTGCATCACTATACATTTTGCTTAAAGATAAGTCTATGCTGTTTCAATATTGAATGCATGGGGTTTTCAAATTCAACTATATTGGTTTTGAAGCTATTTCGACACATTTTTGCTCACTTTTAGAGAATCTCTTTTTACAGTGCAACTGTATATAGGACATGCTTAAATTTCGAAGGCTTGGGAGTAAAATAAAATATTTTTATTTAAAAAATGAGTTAAAATATTGATTTTGACATTTGAACATATGATATTGTGATTTGTTTTAAACGGAAATCTGGTACGTCTTACCACATTATTATGGTTGCAACAAATTTACAGGAGGTAGTTCAAAGTTGAAATATTTTTTCTCAGTGGGTAGTTTCAGGGATTTACAAGGAAAAAAATAGTTTAAAATTAAAAAAGTAAAATTGCAAAACAGCAAAAATTGAGAATAAATTCTTCAGATAAACATAGCTTCATATAATTAATGCAGTAAAAATATATGTGCTTTAAGATCTTACTTTCAAAAAAAAAAGTTAAAAACTGAAAGCATTTAAAATTTAAAATATGTCAATTGTATTAGATATATAATCAATAAAATTCCAAGCTGTTTTTAACCGGTCATAAAAGGAATATTTGTTTATAATTAAAGATAATTTTAGTCAGCGTAGTTAAGAAGCATTTTACCATTCAAAACACACACAAAATATTTGTCAGTTGTGTTTTTACCTCCCCTAACTTTCTAAAATAAAGAAATAAAAGCTAATTATAATCTGACATATTGCAATTTCATAAAATTCATAATACGTCAAACTAATTAATTATAAATTAAGCCCATGTGGTCATAGGAGAATCATTTTTTATATCAAGGATAGTTTGTGACAATGTAGTTAGACATGTTGAACCATTCAAAGCACAAAAAACCTTTCTGTATACCTTTCAAAATTTGCTATTTTTTAAACTAAATAGCTGTATTATCACTAAAAGCATACGTTGGTTGATAAATGGTCATGACAAAAAAAATTTCATATCAAAAATAGGTTTTGTCAGCAAAGTTACGATATGTTGCATCATTCAAAACACAATGAAACATCTTGGTTTCTTCCTACCTTCCGGAATAAAGAAGTAAAAAACTAAAATTCTATAAAATATACAATGCGTTGAACCAATTAGTCACAGAATAAATAAAGCCCTTTGTTAATTTTGAACTGTCATTGGAGAAACATTTTTTCAAATCAAAAATAGTTTGTGCCAACGTAGTTACGACGTGTTGTGCAGTTCAAAACACAAAAAAAAACATTTCTGCTTTTTTTGTGTTTTTAACTAGTCATATTCCATTTTAAATATGTCAAAATAATTAGTTACATAATCAATAAAACATATGCTAATATTGAAAGATCATAGGGGAAAATTTTTTTAAAATCAAAAATAGTTTCGGTAAACATAGTTGCAGCGTGTTTATTATTCAAAGCACAAATAAACATTCAAGTTTCAGGTGCTTTTGATAATCCCTAACTTCCAGAATAAAAAAGTAAAACAACTAAAATTCAATAAAATTTACAATATGTCAAACTATTTAGCTGTATAACCAATGTAGGCTTCGCTAATTTTGAACAGTCATAGGAGAAACATTTTTTAAATCAAAGATAGTTTGTGCAAGCGTGGATACGACGTGTTGTACCACTCAAAATACAAAATAATAATAATAATAATAATGATAAAAATAAAATAAAAAATAATAAAAAAAACAATCTGTTTTTGTGTTATTAACTAGTTGTACCTCCACTTACATTATGTCTAACTAATTACTTACATAATCGATAAAAAAATGCGTTAGTATTGAAATAGGGGAAACTTTCTTTAAAAATCAGAAATAGTTTCCGTCAACTTAGTTACGACGTGTTGCATCATTCAAAGCAGGAATAAACCTTTCGGTTTTTTTGTAATTTTGATAACCTCTACCTTCCAATGTAAAAAAGTAAAAAACTAAAATTCAATGAAATTTTCAATACATCAAACTATTTAGTTGCATAAATAATTAAAACCCACGCTAGTATTCGACGTTCATAGATGAAACAATTTTTTTTCTTCAAATCATAGATAGTTTCTGCCAACTTAGTTACGACACGTCGTACCATTCAAAATATAAAAAAAAAAATTCGCAAACAATAACCAATAACTCACTATGATATTATTCATGCATTATCAAGGGAATTCTTAACCACTTAATATTTATCTTCTCTTTGATTGAAAGATAATGAAATGTTGTAACTGAAAGTTTGTCGATTTTCTTCCGGAGATGAGAAAGAAATAGCTAATTTTCTCGAACGCATATCTTTTTTTCCACCAAGCAATATTTGTTTGAGTGTTGCAGAAAGTGCTCAAAAGAAACGAGATTTTGTCGTGAAATCAATGACTAATTAAAGGAAAACGTTGTCAACTTTATATTTCATGATGTTTGGAAGATATGCTCTTCATTAGTTAAAAGTAATAAGTAAATAAAAATATAAAAACGCAATTGGGTGTTTTTGGGCGTAATAGATTTTCCTAAAACTTATTAAAATTTATTAATTTAATTTCGTTTGTTTGAAGGCCTGTTCTTATTAAGAAAATAGATGGGGAAAAAATGCTAGAACTACTGCGCTAGATTTGTGGAGGGGGTTTAGCAGTAAAATGAAATCTAACTCCTCTGGCAATAAAAGATATAATTCTTATGATATATTTGCGACGTATTTTTAAGTTAAATTTTTGAGTTTTTAACCATGCTCAAAAATTCATTAAAACTTTACTGGTGGTAATAAAACTGAGCTTTATTTTCGATTTCAATCAAAATTTTGCTTTTGCATGCAATTATTTTATGCATGGAATTAGTTTTTAATGGTGATTTTCATCAATTATTTCAAATTATTCTTAGAAAAGAAATTTTAAGTTATCAGTTGCGCTTTAAATTAACGATAATATAACTAAATTTTATTACTTAAAGTATTTTTTACATTGTTTTAATTATAAGTTTGACTTAAATTTTAAGAGCGTGAAGGTAATTTTGGTGACATAATTGGAAAAAGCTTCAATTTTTGGACGATAAATATAGAAAAAAGTAAAATATGATTTCTAATTTAAAATGAGTAAAGCGTCAATGCGAACATAACTTACACTTAATTATGTCCTTGAGTTTTAAAAAATCTGTTTGGAAAAACCTTTTTTTTAAAAATTTAATCCAACGCGGTAAAATATTATATATGATGATCATAGTAACTCTGATTATTTAAACATCCAAATCTTAATTCTCTAAGATCCACAAAATTCATTATTAAATAATTGGAAATAATAATCTTCGAAACTTGAAATTCACGTAATCAGCAGATTCCAGAAAAAATAATTCAATGAAAAGAATGGTAACGAGTTATAATAAATAAAATTAGTAAAAAAAAATGAAATGTAATAAAATTATTAAAAGGAAACACAAAATACCAATTTCTCGCATGATATATTTTGGTAAAAAATTATAATTAGTAGAGGGAAATTATCTTTCATCTATTTAATGTTTTATTTTAAATTCCTTTATTGTATTTTTTAATTATTAAATGTAAACAAATAATTGATAGCTTTTTACATTTTAAATTATTACTTTTTGAATTGTTCCTCTCTCTCTCTCTCTCTCTCTCTNTATATATATATTATTTATTTAAAGTATGTTAAAAAATTAGTTAAATTAAATCTCCTTAACTGTGTGGAAAAGGAAATGCTTCTTTAATTATCATGAAAGGCTTCTAAATATTGTGCTTATTGGCTAATAGTACACACATAAAATATACAAAAACATGCTAATCTAAGCTATCAACAATAATATCCAAACGATATAATTTTATTTAGTTCAGAACTGTAAATTTAAAATAGTATTATTTACATTAATGGTACTAATTTTGGCCGTTTATTTTCGCCCCATTCTAATACAAACAATTTATGCTAAAAATAGACGGAAAATGAGCTTAGTAAGTGGCCTTGGTGTTGGTAATCTTATGTCATTACTTTTATAACACTAGACTGCTGTTTATACAAAGAACTCAGTATCAAACCCATGTCCTCAAACTCTTTGGCGAAAGCATGACCGATACTAAGATTCTTACATTGCATTCCTAAAAGATTTAAAAAAACTCTTTTTAATCGGCTTATGCATTGAAATTTCAAAAATTTTATAAATATCTTTCCTTTATGATTTATTTATTCATATTCTGCTTTTAAACAACGAATGATAACAATATTTTAAAATCATGCTTCTCACATATTTACAGGCGAGGTTCATAAAATTCATTGTTTCATTCTCTTATTTTCTAAAATATTTTCTAGTTTCAATGGACAGTTCTTAAGCTTTTAATACTTATTAAAATTCCATTAAAGTTCTGTGGAAAACGTATTGCATATACTTTGAACAGATAGCTTTAATGCATATTATTTTTTCTTCTGACATGTTTATGGCCACTAATACTTTTAAAGTCTCAAATACTTACATTAATTTTATATGTAACTAAATTTTAAACATCTATATGTCTCATTCAAAAGCAACCCTTATGAGAGGAAGTTTGCATGAAAAGACTCTTTTTGACTTTAAAAAATTCCTTTAAATTCCTTTAAAAAGTTAGCACGCATTCGTGTGTTTTTAAAATTTCATCGAAGTTTTTTTAGTAAATATCTTGATTATTCTTGACACTTGATTATAGTAATTTCTTGATACTTTAAAATGTCCTCAAAATTTTATACAAAGTTCCTTTTTTTTAAATACTCCTAATTAACCTTTTTGAGTCAATAAAATTTCATTAAATTGCGTACACTGCCAAAAAATCTGGAGTACAGTTGCCAGTCTTTTTGGTGTTGAGGTAAATTAAAATTTTTTACAGTGCAAGTAGTCCCATTTTTTTAATTTAATTTTCACTGTTACAGTTTTACTTAATTATTTATTCAGTTTTTCTTTGTTTATTTACTCATATCTCCATGCGCATTAGAATTGATTTATGGCCTCATTACAAAAACATTTCTTCTCAAAAAGGCATGTTTTAACAACATATTCGCACTAATTCTTTCAATTATTATTTTTTTAAATTTATGTAGTTTTTTGTACTATAGCTAAAGTTCGGAACTTAAAAATGTACTTAATTTACTCAACACCAAAAATGCTGACAACTATGCACCAAAATATTTTCCTGTTAATAAAATTTGCTCGTTTTTTTTTCAATTTCTCATAAAGATTTTTATCTTTATTTTCATTGACAGATTCATAGTTCCTTGAGTATTCTTCAAAATGGGAGTAATTTTATTTTATTTATTTATTTTTTGTTCCTTAATTCCTCATAACTCAATAAAATTTTCGTTCTATCTTATCTAAAATATCTTATCTATCTTATCTTGAACTTTTTGAAATTCCTTTAAAGTTACGTAAAAAAATTTCTGCTCTCGTTTTCACAGTTGGAATAAATATATTTACACCATATAAATATGCATTTTTAATCAAAAATTCTAACAACATATACAAAAGCAACATCATTTTGAAATCATAGATTTAATTTAAATACGAACTTTTAAAAATAAACTTTCTGTCTAAAAGCGAAGTTTCTTGACTCCTTAAAATTTCCTCAAAGTTCCCACCAAACATTGGAATGAAATCCAAAATATCGAAGCAACTTGGGTGAATGATCGAAGTGTAAAAGCATTTCCCTGCATTTTTTAACAGCAGTTTTATGTAAGGTAATTCTTCCGCAGTAAGTGCATAGAATAGTTCAACGAACTAGCCCAACCAAAGGGTTCAACGTTTAAAAAAATTTGTCTACACCCTTTCCCTTTAAGTGATGTCGGAAATGGCTCACCTGTTGAAACCCCCAATCGCATCTGGAGTCATTGCGCCCCAAGAAATTCTCCAGTTCTCTTCCATCATCTCATATCTGTAAGTACTCCTTTTTCTCTCTCATCTAAGAAGCTTGAGGCGATAATTGAGAATATAGAGATAATACCTTGAAGAATAATCTTTCTCTTAAATAAATTCCGACAATTCTTTGGTTACGAAAATTATCAGAGGTGAAAATAACTCCTTCTGTGGTGGATTACCGCACTCCTTCCCTATCTAATTATTTCCTTAAATTATCTGCTTTTGGATTAAAGGAGTTAGATTACTCCTTTCGCGTTATTGTTTGATAATGTTTAAAAGTTTAAAATTGCTTATTTCATTTTAAATATGCAAGTGTGTAAAAATTCGGTACAACGTTAATTGTTTTGGCGGGACTTTGAAGCAGTGTTAAATAGTTTCTCTATAGGTGACTAATTCTTGTTTAAATATAGAAGTTGTATGTACAGTGACCCTGTCCAGTATTTATATATTTTTATAAATTATCACAGTCTATGGCTGTATATACATAATACTTTAAAAAAAACATTAATCATTTAAAAGATGTGTATAAATATTGCATTGTATTAAAAACATAAAGCTGTTTTGAGAGACAATAAATTTTCATTTTATTTTTTTATTGTATTCAATTTCAAAGAAAATAATATACTGTCCTAAAACTTTTGCATGCCACTGCATATTTTTATAAATTTTGAAACATAAGTTCAAGGAGAATTGTTTTGAAAGTGCATATTATGAATAATTTGTCATGCTGGTTATGATAGTAAAAGAACTGTACAAAAAACTTTTTTTATAAATCTCTTGTTCAGTTATTTTTGGCTTTAAAACTATCACTAGTTAAATGTTTTTAGTTGTTATATTTTAATAATTTATTTTTCAACTTCAAATCCAAAGTACTGAGATAAAAGATTTTTTCTGATGGGTGCAAATTATTTATTTTGCTTTCTAAAAATGTTCCATGTCTAAAAATGTTCATATGCATGTATTTAGTTTGCACGTGTTAAAGTTCTAAATGTACAGTTTAAGTGTTATTAAACTAAAAAAGTAATTAATTAAATCCTGTGTTTTTCTGAGTGATTTTACTGTTTTTGTTTCACATGAGCTTATTAATCAAAAGCTTTTATTTTTTTTATTAATTTGGTGTTTTTTTAAATTTCTTTTTAATGTTAAAAAGATATATTAATGCTTCTTTCTCCTGTTAAAAAATATAATTGAATCTTAATAATGCAATTACTTCATTTTACCAAATACAGTCTTATCTGTAATTATGTTATCAATGGTATCAAATACAATCTTTTATGTAAATGTAAAAAAGTATTATTTACATTTTCCTAAATGTCATTACCCTTTAGGAGTGTCTTAAAACGGGGTGAAATACAACTGTTTCAAAGCAGGAAGTAGGTAGGGGGCAGTGGAGTCGTAAACATTTATTTATGTAAATTTTAATAAACTTAAATTTTGCACGTCGTAAATTAAGTTAATAATTTTAATCGCATTGGCTTTATTAAAAAGTATAAGTTTATAATTTGAATGTAAATACTTCTGACTTCATGAACTTTTTGCGTTTCCTTAAAATTGCAACAAACTTGCCTCTAATTTTTAATATAAAAGACACACGATTCATGCTTTTATATATAGATTTTTTTTCAAAATTAATATTTCTTTTAAGTAGTAAATTCTAAGCATGTCCCGACATTATTTCTTGATATATACTTAAAAATTGTTTTAGTTATTTATAAATTTTTTTATTTATCTTGAAATGCCAAAGTAAAATTTTAGGATATTGCATAAGTTACTTGTTTGTGCTTACATGGCGCATATTTTTATTACATAATAAATATATTTAAAGAATGCAATTTGAAGGAATTGATATTAATTTATATTTATAATACTAATTTTTTCTCCACTTGCAATGGAATTTAATTTGGCAAAAACCATTTATTTTTTATTTTTACAGAAATATTTAATACGCATTTTATTTTGAGTTGCAAAAATTTATTATTTCGAAAGTTATAATGGAAAAGAAATGTTAGCGTTTCTGTTATCAAAGTTGGGAATTTTTTTTAAAGTCATTACCCTCTAGGTGCCTTGAAACGGGGTAAATTGTAACTTCCTGGATGCCGGAAGTAGACGATAGGGAGCACCACGTACACAATTTTGATATTTTATTTTAAAAAAAATATTAAGAATGAGAGGGTAGTTTCTAAAATATAAACAATCAGGATATTTTTAAAACTACTATTTCAGATCGTATATGGAGATAAAATTTTCGCGCCTCAGAATTTTATATTTAATAATTATTCATTATTATGGGATTTTTTTTGTCTAAAAACACAATTTTTTTCAATTAACTTAACTAATGAAATGTTAAATAATAAAATGCTAAGCTTTTTAATAATTTTTCCATGACAGTAAAAAAGTAGTAATTTCGAATCAACCAAAACTACTAACTGAAACAGATAAATAAACAACATTTATCAGTTTCTTTGTGATTACTACAAATAGTTTTTTGCTTATAAAAGTAAGAATGAATTATTTTTTTTAATGATACTGTACAAAATTAATTCCCTTTTAAGCATTTTACAGATGAGCAGAAATATAAACACTTTCTAAAAATTTAAAGTAATTTAAGAAGTGATAAAACCTTTTAAAATGCTTTTTTTCTTCTTCCAGAAACTACACAAATTGAAGCCGGTAAATTGTCACATGAGAGTAAATTATAAAATTAACTGGTATAGTTTTGAAGAACTAGTGTAAATAAAAGTAAAACAGTTTATAAAAGTTTAGTTTGATTAATTTTAGTACATATTGCTTATATTATGAATTGCGACTGCGTTTTTTACGAAGAAATATCAGAGTGGATTAAAAAAAATACTATAATTAGAAACTTGAACGTCTAAATTTTAAAATTTCCTTAAAACGTTTCAACTTTATAATTTTTAGTTACATAATGAACCGACAGACAAATTATTTTGTAATTCAATTTAACAATGTTCATGGTTTTTATTTTCTTGAATGTTTTTAAATTTTTTTTAAATGATTTACATGGCAATTTTGCTAATTTTTGACAGTTTTTTCATTTTCGTTTGCTTCTTAGTCGATTTTATATTCAAAATTTCTTGACAGCATGAGCAACAATTCAAATCTGTATATGAACAATTGTAGCTTAAAGGGAGAAAATAAAATTATAGGAATTTATTATAATATTTAGCGAATGCATATTGGCGCCAGTATTTATGTCCTTCCTTATATAACAAATACTTACGAATGTTGGGTCTTAGCTTCTGCAATAATTCACGTGGTACCAAACCTTTTTTTTTTCGTATTTTAAATTAGAACAGTACTGATTAAAAACAAGTCGAATTAATACTTTATAAGAATGGGTTAATTTTTAAGTCATTTAAATATTTTATTGCAAAATGGTTTAATTTGCAAAAAATGAATGAAATGCTAACTTAACTTCCTTAATAAAATAAGTATAATTTAACTTAAATTTGCAGAAATTTGTTAAACTAAAAATCTCTGTTATTTACGCAAGTAAAAAATATTCGTAGAACTCAAAAAATTATGTTAACAAAGTAATAATTGATTTTCCTGTCCGAAATATTAAGTATAAAAGAAAGTTTCTTATTACTTTTCAAAGAATTAAGTCTAAATACTTTCTAAAGATTAATTATTATTAAAAAAAACTCTACATTGTAGAATGCTATATTGTGTTAAGATTCATAATACATATTTTTGGCAGAAGAAATGCTGCTTTAAAATAACATAGTGTTGAAATGTTTTTTACTTGATGAGATAACTGTCTATAATACACTTGTTACTTATTAATTCCAAGTGTTAAGTTCTTTTAACCATCTCAAGATACTTAAACGAAATGGTTCCAAAAAGTTGTGAAACTTATTATTTATATAAAAACCAATTATTACAAAAAACATCCGCAAATAACAGAATTTTACATAACAAAATAATTTTCGCTATGTTAAATAATTTTTTGTTGTGTTAAATAACATAGCTACTGATAACACAGCTTTTTTTTCGCTATGTTAAATAACGTAGAAAACGTTGTGTTAAAATAACACAATCACGTGAAAAAATTTTATTCTTGAAAAGATAGTTTCATCTAATATAATTGTTTGTTTGCTATTTCAAATATTAAGTTCTTTCAACACCCTATATATATTTTATTGAAATAATTTTTTAAAATTTTAAGGACATAAAATCATTGAAGTAAGTACTTGTAAATATTTATTTTCATTGATTTTTTTCAAAATAACTGTAAATAGGGCGTAAAAAATTAATGCGTTTTAAGGAATTTGCAAGTGTGAAATAGACTTGCTGAGAATATCCATTTTAAATACGCAGATCAAAGCGTTAATTTTTTTTTTGTGTATTACAAATATATAAAATTGTGTTATAGGTGATGACCTTTTTTCTGACTTTTAAAATATCTGATAGTTAACTTAAGTGTAGTTAGTTAAGTTCAAGTTCATTTAACTTAAATTTTAGTTAATAACGATGATAGCGATTGTCAAACAGATTTCATGCAAAAGAAAATCAAAGTTTAGAATACTATAATATTTTAAACATTTTGTTAGTTTTAGAACTTAAAGTAAATATTCTAAAATCCCCAAAATTTTAATTGGTTTAACTTTTAGGTCTAGTTTTGTATCAAACTTTAGGACTTCATAAAATTTTGAGAAACGATTAGTTTTAATAGTTCATTGCTTGTGGGCGATTATTTAAAGAATACTTTTGGTCTATTGTAATACTTTAATAAAAAGGGATTTTGGTTTTAACTATTTTCTATTAGAGGGATTTTGTATTCAATTGAAATTCTAAAAGGTTTAGTAAAATTTAAATTTTCAGTTAAAGTTTTGTTTAGTTTTAGTGAGGAAATCAGACTACAATAACTGAAGTAATTATTATCAAAAAACATTTTACTTTAAATATCTTTTTGCATCCTCGTTTCTCATTTTTTTCTGCCACAGTTATTTTTTTTAGAATTATTACCTCTAAATCGAAGCTGATAGCAACATTCTTTATGCTGTATTTCCGAAAATAAGAGTTTTAATTATCCGTTTCTCAAACAATATTCAAGTTACGCATTTTTTAAAGCAAGATAAATTTTCTCATTACTGTAAGAGCGTTCCTTTCTAAAAACAAACGAATTTTGTACTTATTATCGAAAGTTTAAATTAAGACTTGCAACGTCACGCTTTACTAATGGGGGGAAGGAGTAACATATGCATAAATATATGCATAAATATAATAGATTTATATTGACTTACTAATAGATGTGCCATATGTTCTGAATTGTTAGGAGCATTTATATATGTATACGATATTAGGTAACATGATTTACGCAAAAAAAAGTTAAAATGAAGCAATTGTTTTCTATGTTAAAAGGAAATATGCATCGAATTATTTTTAAAATGTGCTTTAAAATGCAAAATAATATGCAAAAGCGATGTGCAATTATTATTAAAAATTTACCCGAGTGATTTTCTTCCGTCTGCTGTTGTATCAGACACAGCTTGAAGAAAACAGTTATGTGTTAACAGCTGTGTGCAGTAACGAAATCATTATAAAGCTGTCTTCTCTTTTTTTCCCCTTTAGATGAATCGAATCATACGATATGACTCATAAAGACGTTATTCGATTTTTTTCTACATTTGTTGTTATTAAATACTCAAACAAAAGTTCCAATTTAGATTTTATAAAAATTGAAATGTTATTAATATGAATGGTTTAAAAAAAATATTCTGTTGGAAGAAGCATTTATTCTGCAATAATTTTGCTGCATTTTATTTTAATAATAATAATTTTTATAACTTATTTTAATTTTATATTAGTCCTTTTTGTTGTTATCTAAGACTCTCCCAAAAAATATTGTGGAAATGTTTTGCGAGAACCTTCAATATTATTAATGAAGAATGGTTAGAAAGAAAATGAAAAAGAATGAAAAAATTAACTATTTTTATATTCACGCGAGAGTGATCTACTTAAAAATACTATACTATTTAATATGGTTTTCATAATTTATTTCAATTTTGTTTTCGCATAAAATTTTAATTTGTATGAAAAGTAGTTTGAAATTTTAAAAATTTTATAAATTAAAAAAAAAAAGTTATTCAAATTTATTTAGCTGTCTATATTTAGTTTATAATTTGTTCTGATTTAAGTATTGCAAAAGTTTGATCAGTATATTTTTTAAATTTGATAAAAAAGAATATTTTTTTTATAAATTTAATAAAAAAGTATATTTTTTAAGTAGTTATTTTTACAAAATGCCTCTTTAAATCAAAAAAAATAAAAAAATTAAATACAAATTCTTTAATTAATTATCTAATTGAAAAACTTGAACGTAAATATCTTATTTTAGTTATTTGTAAGAATAAAAAAAAAAAAAGTATTTATTTTGAATATTATCTGCTATAAATGTCTTTATGCGTTTATGACAGTGCCTAGAAAAAAATGATGTAAAATCAATATTTATAAAAATACTTCTTCTGCTTATGAAGAAAAAAAAAATATATAAAAATGCTATGAGATTTAATATCAAAAAATTCTACAACTGGGAGATTAGTCAATACGAAAAAAAAAGGAGAAATAACTATTATTTTTCATATTTCCCAAAAATAAATCACTAGCTACATATTTAGTTTAAATATTTTCTAAATTTATTTTGTGTGATGATGATTTTTCCTTTGTTTTTTTCATACCTTCATCGGTCTTCTAAAAACATCCACTAGCCAGTTGCGCAGAAACATCAGAAAACTAGGGCGGCATCAACAACAACGCAATCTTCCTCCACTTAACCCTTTGATCACAGTCCAAACGAAACTCGTTGCTCATCCAAGATGGCGTCCTCAGCAAGTGGAAAAAGAGGAGAGGCTTTTTAAAAGAAGAAAAAAGGAACAAAACACAAAAAACCAGGCATCCGCTACACGGCGGTCGATAATACAACTTCTCATGAGAGCAAACTCTTTCTTTCGCATCGATCTATTACCACCACTCCCACCTATACTACCCCTCTTCTCGCCAAGCGCCAAAGTTCGCCAAGAAAAGATTTTTGCCGCCAGCACTAGTTCGTGTGTATAAAAAGGTAAATATAATTAAGGATCTAAGTCCCCTTTTCTTGAAGGGAGATTTTGTAATTAATAGCGCTTGAAGAAAATTTGCATACACGATAGTTGTATGTAGGGCTTCTTATAAACATTTGTGATTTGATTTATGCAAAAATGTAAAATTTGTATTATTTTTTTTTATTAGTAATTTTTAGAGGTTTTCTTTTTCAGTTAAGGAATAATCAGAATTTTACGTGACGACCTTAGAGTATAAGTTATGCTTGAGCTTTCGCGTTTATATTCTTATTTTGATAAATGTTTTTTTTTTCTTTTTTCTTTTTTGTAAATACAAATAATTAAAATTTTTTTTATACGATGATTTTTAGTTTTTTCTTCTTTCTTTTTAGTGACAAAAACATTTTACGCAGTTTACGCAGACAAAGTTCACGCAGGTATTTAAAAAATATTTTCCATTGCTGTTGTTACACGAATGCTAAAAAAATACTTTTATTTATACTTTATTTTTGTTTTTTTAAAATTTTTCTGCAAGTAATTTCGAATTTTTAATGTATAGAGGCTAAGATTTAAATGGAATTTAAAAATAATCTAATTTTTTGTGCTAGGTACATTTTTTAATTTTTATAAATCTTTTTAAAATTAGTTTCATTTTGTTTTCATTAGATTACCTCCATTAAAAAAATTTTTTTTGAGCCGGTTGCTTTTGATTTCTTTAATATCTGAAAGATTTATGCAATTAGAGTTTTGATAATTTATACTGCTAAAAAGGGGAATATTTATGATGAACCCATTTATTTATATTTTTCTTTTACAGAATGCTATACGAAATAAAAAAAAGTAATTTTTTTTATTTTCTTGAAAAAATATGTTGACCTTGAAATTTTCTTATGAAAACTCTCAATTGTCTCAATATTTTATTAAAAAACTTTAATTATATAGATTTATAACTGTGTATGATATGCCTCAGTGAGAAAAAAAAAGTGGTTTAATAATGAATTGTAAATACTACAATGCCACAATTGTGTAAAGGAGATACAATTTATAAAAGATATATGGAAAAACTACACTAATCATGAGCGTATTTTCTGATGTTCTTAGCTCAACCAAGAGTTTTCTTTCTCAATAATATATTCAAAAAATATTATCGAATTGTAACAACTGGATCAAAATCTATAAATTGTTGATGAGATGATGGAGATTAAGAACCTGTTTTTATTCCATTGTAGTTTCGTTACTCAAACTGGTTTTAAATAGGTCTTCATTTCAAATCATATTATTCTTTATTTTCTTATTTAACGCACAGTTGAAGTACTTTCAATGCGTTTTCTTGCGTTCTACGCGATGGTTCGAACTTTCTTATTTCATTAAATTGATCTAAACACGAGTTTTAATGTTGCTTGATATCAGGTTTATTTTGATATATTTTAAAGAAAAAGAAAAGGGATACTTCAACTTGTTATTCAGGAGTGAGTAGTTTTAAATAAAGATTGTAACTCATTTCATAGCTTCTTCTTCTTTTTTTTTGTTTTGGCTTTGCATTTGCTTCATAGATATTTGCTGGTAAATCAAATTTCTTTTCTTTTCATATTTATTGATTTTTTCTTATCGTGGATCTAAAATAGTTTAAACTAACCTATATTAGAAAAACAATATATATATATATATATATATATATATATATTTATTGGTAACTAACAAATCAAATGCACTTCAGTACTGCAGTAAGAAAGCACTGTCGAACAAAAACCCTCTATTTATGCTTTTACCTCAATTTGCACTTCTGTTTTCATATTTTGTAATCTGGCAATCTTGTTACGAAAATATTTTAAATCATTCTTGAAAAATTACTGGTTTATGTAAGTTCATTCGTTACTCGCTTTATAGATTTCATTTATGTTTTATTCTGTTTTTTTATTTTAATTTCTGTCTTTACATTATATTTTTACTTAATGTGTTCTATATTATTTGTTGTAAATTTTTGTAATTTTTTTAATTTCTCCTCACTCTATTGTATTGATATATTTTGCTTGGCTATATTGATAAAATATTGGCAAGCACTCTTTTTTTTTGAAGATGTAATCGTGTGAGCATTTGAAAAGATTATGTCTTTTATTTTTTGGTATATTATTAATTCCCCCCTTTTTTTCGGATTCTTTTCTTCCGGATATATTTGCCATCTGAAAAATATTTTTTTCTTGAAGATGTTAAAGTTTACATAATTTTTGTGTATTAAATTAATTATTAAACATTTGTAGGATACTTTCCAAGTTGAAAAATATAAAATTATAAGAATAAAGAAGAAAAGTAGTATTCACAATAATATTTATTGATAAGTTTTGACAGTATTTTAGAAAAATAGTATTTAAAGTGTTAAGTTTGAGGGAA